AGGGGAGAGCTACCATCTGTACAGCAGAGTCATGTTGCCATTGCTCAATTGAGACATCCTGTAAACCTGGGAAGGACACTTGAGGAGACTCATTTGGTCGTCTTGGTTCTGGCTCCTAGTAAAGCAGTAAGTGTAGGATCTTCAGGACTTGTTAACACTAGAACAGAGTAATGGGTTCTGAAACAAAGGCCGATACATACAGAAACAAACAAGCAGAAGCGTTTAGCTGATTATGGTGGTCGTTGTCATTTTTTAACAGGGCTGTGCTCTAGAATCGCCCAGGTGCCACAGGAGACTACTAGCATTTGTCTTTGATTGACTGGATAAACTTATTTTTTTCATATAAGTGCTGGGCACCCATGATTTCATGACTAGGAACCTAAGTTGGGTTCCTCGCAATTTTTCTTAGACAACATCCTTTTAAGGTTTCCATTCAGACGCAAAACAAAAATTTGGGTTTACAGGAAAAAAGTTGGTGAAGTCTAAAGTCAAATAAATTGTATTGAAAAGACACCTGTTTATGAAGCAACATTTCAATGTTTCATTTTCACTCTTGGAAGCAAACACATGCATTGTGGTCTTTACTTTGTGTGATAAATAATTCAAACATAACAGTATTATTTGTACTAGAAAGTATGTGTTTGGACAATTTTTGCTCTTTAGAATGGTTTTGATTATGACTGTCACTTGTATGAACCAACTCTTATTCAATTGTAACCACAGCTTTCTAGTAGTCAGTGGTTGATGAGGGTCCCCAATAGGTTTGGCGTGATGCGGGATTTGGCTTTTTTTCACCATGATATTTGGGATTTTAGCTGAAAACAGGGGCGGGAAGCAGGAATTACAATTACGAGCGAGAGCGGGATTTCGTGTTTTTATGGGGTTGGGATGTGGGATTTGCAAGGGGAACAGAGCGGGATACGGGATTTCAATTCTTATGTGACCTTATAAATTGTTATTGACCAGCGCAAAAAACACAAGCTGACAGAAACGAACTGTATAGCTGTGTCAGGTTTCAAGTAATGAATAGCAACTGCTCTGTACCCTGTCAGGTTCTTTCAAACGTGTCGTCCATTTCCGACATTTTTGATGCTTGCATCTGTAACCTTGACCTCCCGATCCTTTCTAGTTTTTCTAGTCTTTTGGCTTGTTTTGGTCAGGATGGCCACACTGGATGGCGGTGATAGTGATTTACCGAACGAAGTATGCAACATTACGAATTGCGTCACCATCTATTAGACCATAATACGAAAAGGATGTGCGAGCAGGAATGCCTTCATTCGGAAAGAAAAGTTCTGAGCCCAGTTTTCAAGTAAAGTGAAGACACTGAAAGCTTTGAAAGAAACTGTCAAGTGTGTTTACGGGCCATCTCTTGAATATGGGAATGAACAATCTTTTTCTTTCACTGATACGTGGACAAAAGGAAACAAAACAGTAAACCGTTTAAGGAGAAAAACGTTATAATCATTTGTGCTTACATATCTGCTACCCATTGAATTCTTTTGTGATCTTGTATGCAATATCTTGTTTTAAAAAGCTTGTGCCAATAATTAAATTAATTATCAATTTAAAAAATTAGTAATTTACCCAGAAATGTCCTGGAAAAGTAGGCGGAAGCGGGATTTCCAGGCAAATAGGGGCAGGATGGTGGGATTAACAGGAAAAAATGGGCAGGAAAGCGGGATCTGAGAACCCTATTATGGACCCTCGTTAATTACAGAATAATTGTTTATATTCCAGCACTAGGATACTTGTAATGAAAGCACTGCATGTGTTCACGCTAAATCTTTGTCTCTGTCAGAAAAGTACCAAGAACTCTTTAGAGACAGGAAGAACTTTTGCAACACTGCTGTCAGATATAGAAACAAGACAATTACTTATTGAAGTGGAAACCGAGGAACAATTTAAGGTTTGCTCAGAACTTGTCATATCTTCACAATCATGGCCAGACCAGTAATTACTCTGTGAAATGTCTTACCCCATGCACTGTATATCAAGCTTGTCTCTCATTTTGTCTGCAGAAAGTGTTGTCTGATCGCAAAGACCTGCTCTCCTCCAGATCATACGCAACAATTAGACCAGCTAGAAAACCTCCTGCTGTTCAATCAAAATCCTCCTTTACCCATAGAAGAGATGATCAAAAGGTACATGTAATCAAATACCTGAGACTTAGCTTAACTTAAATATTTTAAATACTGCACACTGTTGGGTTCCTTATGCGCCTAGTGGCACAATAAGACGAGATGATGACACTGTTGGTTATTTCTTTTCCAAACATTTTCATCAACAATGATCAAATTCATGTTTAGGTTTGATATCTAACATAATGAATTACTTCTTCCATAGAACTAATAATACCCTGATACCCTGATACCCTGATACCCTGATACCCTGATACCCTGATACCCTGATACCCTGATACCCTGATACCCTGATACCCAGATACCCTAATACCCAAATACACCAATACTTTAATACCCTAATACCCAAATACCCCAATACTTTAATACCCTAATACCCTAATACACAAATACCCAAATACCCTAATACCCTAATACCCTAATATGATAATAACCTAATACCCTAATACCATAATAACCTATCAACCTAATACCCTAATACCCAAATATCCTCATAGCAAATACCCTAATATCCTAATGCCCCATAACCCCAATACCTCAATATCCCAATAAACCAATACATTAATACCCTAATACCCCAATACCCTAATACCCTAATACCCTAATGCCCTAAAACCCCAATATCTCAATATCCCAATACACCAATATTCTAATGCCCTTATACCCTAATACCCTTGATATACCCTAATACTCTTAACCTTAATGCCCCATGACCCAAATACTTCAATATCCCAATACACCAATACCCTAATAGCCTCATACCCAAATACCCTAATAGCCTAATGCCCTAACACCCTAATACCCTAATACCCTAATACCCTAACGCCTCATAACCCCAATACCTCAATATCCCAATACCCCAATACCCTAATACCCTAATACCCCATAACCCCAATACCTCAATATCCTGAGATACCAATACTCTTATGCCCTTATACCCTAATACCCTAATGCCTCAGAACCCCAATACCTTAATATTCCAATACACCAATACCCTTATGCCCTTATACCCTAATACCCTCATACCCTCATACCCTAATACCCTAATACCCTAATACCTTAATACCCTAATGCCCCATAACCCCAATACTTGAATATCCCGATACACCAATGCCCTAATACCCTTATGAGTTTCTGCTGAAACTACAAGGCATTGTTGTACCAATGAAGCAATTCATTTCCAGTGACTGAATGGTTTATACATTAAGGCCACTTGGTTTTATTAGAAATTTCTGGAGGAATAGGATATTAATAATAGTGCAAATTATAACCAAAAGTTTTGTCCGTCAATTTGACAGAAATCAGAGCTGTTTTCCTTTGGAAGAGGACTTATTAGAGACTTGAAAAGAAGATGGCCACATTATTTATCAGATTTTAAAGATGGTAAGTTGAGGGAGAATGTGTGCTGCAACTAAGATCTTAGACACTTTGAGATATTACAGTCCTAACTTGGTGTAATGGAGATAAAACTAGTCCTGAATCATGCTTTAGTGTGCATCATCAAGTTATCATATGCCTGTGGATGTTTGTGGAGCATGACAGAAGTGTAGAGCTGTTGGAGACACAGCTAATAATAATACTGATGATAATGATAATGACAATGATAATGGTAATGATAACAATAATAAGCAACTTTATTTGAGGGTAGCACACAACAGTAATCACTGAAAAACCAGTGGCCCTCGTATAAATATTTACAGAATAAAAGGATGATGTGTTAAGAATTAAAAATATAGAAACTGACTCTTAAATATGTAACAATAATATAAAAAACGAAGATATGAGACACTCTAAAATATTAAAAAGCAAAGCATTGGATCAAGTCTAACAATTAAAACAAGAAAATTAAAAATTTAGATGATAAAATGGTCCAATTCCTGATAACTGTCCATAAAAAGTTTAAAGATAGATTCTGTGAAGTTTGAAAGATTAGGTTGGTTTTTAATATGAGCAGGAATCATATTCCAGAGGCGGCTAGTCAATACTGAGACCTCAGTCTCCCGTTTGAATCAGGGGCAGATAGGGTTTAATTGACCATGCCTGCTCGTTCAAGCATCTGGGTAAGATAAGATGGGCACTCCCCTAAAATTCGTTTATATACCAATATTGACTTTTTGTCACCTGAGGGCACCTCTAGCTTCTTGAATGCTTTTCCAATTTCCCAAGTGCATCATAACTGTTAAATAGATTGTTTTGTAACTCTGCCAGTGGAAAGTAATCTACTACCATGGCTGCTCGTTTCAAGAAAAATTTATCTGGGGAAGCAAAAGTTGAAATGATGTATCATAGTGATTTATTTTTATGTCTAGTGATCAATTTCATAACCCAATAGGAATAAGAGGTCGTCATACCATTCCTAAGTTGATTTCCACAACACTGTTCTTGTACTTTGCCTGCCTTCTACCATCTATTGCTTTTGGTGTCCTCAACAGCCGTAACACCAATGGACAAATTGGTGAGTAAGAACTGTAATATCTACCAACATTATTATTATTTCCTTTATTTACAGCACTNGGGGGGGGGGGGGAGAGGAGACATGGCTTCAGAATAAAAACAAAATTTCACAACACTTGCTCCCAGTTGCTAAAGGTGTAAATTATAATGCTACTGACTGGGTAAATCCCTACTGTTAATCCCTTAGGTCACAGTGATTGTTTTATTGGGCAGTGTTACATGTATGTACCCTTTGACCAACTTAGTCATGGGTAGCAAGATGTAAATGCAAATTACCTAGTACCTAACTGAAAAACACAAGTAGAACAGTCAAGCTCAAACTCTTTACTCATGTCTCCAATTAATTCCTGACTCAGTGTTATTTTTTCTAATTAGCACAATGTCTAGATAGTGCTACAATTAAAATTTCAACCACTGCCCTTTCATGTTTGTTGTAGATGTCCAGAAAGTAATTATATCACAGGCTGTAGGAGGAACGTTATTTGCTCTCTTTGGAGGACAGCCCTTAATTGTCATGCTAACCACAGCTCCCTTGGCACTATATATAAAAGGTACAGGCAGTAGTCAGTGTCAAGTGTCTGTATATCAAATTATAATATAGATAGGACCCTGCGCACACTCTGGTTGGTCAAAATCCCATGATTTATCAGAGTATAAGACATAGAAAAAGCATGTTTTATTGTTTCGCGTCTATATCATAGAGCAAATGAAGAAGCCTAAGCCGTGTATTACACTGTGCTAAAACACTCCAGACATTTGAGAACACTCAACAAATGTTTCTGCATTTCCCTCATGTTCTCAAATGCCCATCGTGTGTTATCACACTTGGGCTTCTTTATTGTTAAAGTGCACCTAACCCCCAAATTTTTTTTTCGCTAAAACGAATGTACTTGTTATTTGAAATAGTTCTGTGAAAAAATTTTTGGATTCCATGAAATCCTCAATTTTCTGTGCCCCGATGAAATCTCGAAAATAGCTCCAAAACACCGCCATTTTGTTTCACGACCGAGTTTGAGGAGAATGGGTCCAGCGGCTCTTGTGA